CTTGCCCTTCTTCTAGCACCTTGTCAGGGCAATCGTTTCCCAGCACATTTTCTACTGGTGAGTCCAGTTAAGTCTTTCTCCTTTTATCTGTAGAGACATCTAAATAATACTCCATCTATTGTCTGCTTAGCTGATGCTCTCAGCTGATGGCAAGTTGTTATCTTCAAACTGAGGAATAAGCAATTGTCTGTTATTGGCCTGGGGGAAATAGCTGTGTTTGCTCTATTGACCCACATATTTCTGTGTGTGGCTCAAGTAGTGTCCCTCTCCATTCTGTCTCCCACAACAAAGGCACACCTCTTGCCTTCTGTTCACAACAAATACATCTCCAGTGCATTTGTAATGCAGAGTAGGCAAGGTTTTGCAGTTGCCTGACATCCAACAGCTTTCTCTGTTTTCTTTGTGATTCCCCCCAAATGACTAATTTTCCCACCAGCCATAGCTAATAGCTGTTCTGATACTGTTTAATTCTGTGTATCACAAAGCAGCTGGTTTTGAATTGTTCAGACAGGCCTCTAGTTTAATAGACACAAAAATTGATTAGATAAGCCTTTAGGCTCAAAGGTCTATGTCATCTAAGGCATTATTTACTTCTTTAAAGCCTTGCACAATCAACTTCCAGCCAGGCAGACACACCTGAATGTAAAGCTGGAGAAGGTGCCAGTCCATTTTTACCTCTTCACAATGCACATCACCAGCACTGAGGAAGGAACTGTGGTCTGGGAGGTGCACAAGTGGAATAAAAGAATTTAGGTGTTGCTATTTTGTATTTGTTTTTATTTTGTGGAACAGCATATGGCAACTTTTCACTGAGTCTGAGGTCAGTCAGATTTCCAGGCATAGAATAATACACACAAGCATGTTTCTAACCTGTGAATCATTAGCACAACACATTTTTCAGCCCTTGCACTGTGCTTTGCCTTGGTGCCTAAGAGAGTTCTTGCTTGTTCAAAGCCTCCAGTGTAACAGCAACCTGCAAATTGTTTGGGAGTCAACCCAAAGATGCTCTGCTCAATGACCCTGTGGCTGCACACCTTTGCCTTCTCAGATCTCAGGCTCCTAAATGGGAGCCTGTCTTCCCCATTTAATCACAACGCTTTTACTGCAAGACAAAGAGAGGTCCAGCAGCTCCTCATCAAGAATCCAAATGAATGGGCAGAAACCTCAGTCTGAAGAAAAGACAGGTCTTTCATCTTCTCACACAGAAATAATACGAAGCAGGAAATATTTGCTCTGAAGGACAGATTCCCTATTAGTTTTCTCCCTATTTTTTTTTTTTTGCAGGACCACAGGGTGTTTGTAGTGAGAGAGGGACACCAGAGAGGCTCCTGTAAATGTTCAGAGGGGAACTGAAAAAAGAACAGATGGGCTTTTTCCTAGAACTGACCACAGAAACAGCCTCATGAGCTATTTGACTAAGAAAATGAAGGAACTTGAGGGACTTGAGAAGTCTTATCAGGGAAGATATTAAGAAAAAAGGGCTTCAAAACCAGATTGTTAAAGCAGTTATGGAGAAACAGGCCAAAAAAGCAGGAATTTTGACAAAGAGGCAGCATCAATACAGCAGTTCTCATCTTGTATCCCACCCCTTGCCATAACTTCCCACTTCCATTCTGTAGCTTATGGGAGAGGCTGTGTTTGGGCAGGCAAGTCCACAAATCAGAGCAACACACAGAATTAGCTCTACTTGATATGGCCTCCTAAAAAGTCATAACCCCCTAGCAGAAGAGAGTGGCCTTCTGACAGCCAGAGGTATTGGAAACCTTTATGAGGATTTTTTCTGTTCTACTATTTGCACCCATGCACTTTAATTCTTAGTGCTTTTTATAAAATTTTGCCTTGCCCTGAAGTGACAGAATTTATACATTTTGTTCGGGATTGCCCTGCACCTTTTTGTTACCTGAACAAAACAGTGCAAAAAGAAGTAATTGATCTGATCTTGTTCAATATTGTGCAGGACACAACAATGGCACACGCAGACAATACAGTCTGCCCTTTGCAGCAGGCATCTTGCAAAGGTGTGCACCTCGATTATCTTCTGCCTTGCAGCAGTGCAGCTTCTTAAAACAGCTCAGATCACTCAGAATAAGGGCAGCACAGGCATCCTAATAAAATCTGCAAATTTCTGCAGGGTTCTGAAGTGCCAGCTGCCCCATTTTCAGACACAGGATTCTGAATTCCCTGGCCAGCTCTGCATGTGGAATGAGTGGCACAGGTTCCTCTGGGCACGGCCTGGAAGCTGTGCTGCCTGCTCGCCAGCTCTGCCTGTGCCTGAATCTCTGCACGTGCTGGGCTTTGGCTGGCCATCCCATCTCCACTGGGAATGCCCATAGCCAGCTTCAGAGGCACTGGTAAACAAAAAGAAGCAAGACTGCGTTTATGGTCAGGGTCTGTCACAGATCACTGACCCAGGTGGAGAAAATAAGCAAACGGTTTCTTAAACAAATAGCTACAAACAAGTAAACATGAAAGTTGGTAGAATTTGATATTTCACCTTAGGAGACAAAAATCCTGCGCTCCCCATGCTAAAACAGACCTAGAGCTTTTTTTAAACTATAGATGGTAAATTCTTAATAGGAGAACTTCACTCAGTTTAACCAGCTCACAGTGATTTGTGCTAGGCTGTCCATTTCAAATGATCTGAGCACTGAGGTAACAATCCTGGGTTTATATACTGACCCACACAAGCAGCCTCCACAAATGATACAGAACACATCCCCCAGAAGATTTGTGTTATAAGTACATAAAATTTGCAATCAGCAAACAACAATAAAAACCTCATATGTGATAAAAGGATAACGCCATTGAAAGGCAACAAAATTAAATGGTACATAATTAAATTGTGGGATGTATCATTTTTGCTCCCCAGCCACTGACCTTGCTGGCAAGGGCTGCTCTGGACAGGAACTCAGGGTAATGGAGCCACAAGTTCAGCAGGTTCACCTTATCTGTAGCACACAGCACCTGGCCAGTAATTGCACACACCGTGAGCAGCTGCCCTCCAGTCACAGCTATGGGGGCCTCCTAGCACTGTCCTTGCTCTCTTGGGTCACTTCCCATCAAGAAAAGCCTGACCTGACTGTGAGAAAGGGAGCAGGCAGTGAACACTGGCAGAAGTACCACTGCAAATGAGATTGACTTTACTAGAAAGATTTTTTTTTCTGTGTGGTTCTCAGAAAATCACTCTGGAAATGCTGGAGGCTGCATGTTTGTGAGGTGAACTCATTACTCCCATGGCTGAGGAAATCTTCCTGAAGGTAATGAGCTGCAATGCCTGGTATGAAGTAGGTGTGCACACAGATTTGGCATTTACCTGCTATTCATGTGTTTGATTTTGAAACAAAGTGAAAAAAATGCACAAGTAGGCTTGAAAGCCATCACATGATGGTGGTAGTTATAAGTATAACCTGTTCCTCTCTAGCACTCCCTGCTCCTGCCCACTGGGGTTATTCTCTACATACTCCTTGCTGATTCCCTCCTCTCAGGCAGGGATGTATACCCAAATGCCTAGATCAGCAGGATGTTTTACATTTTGATGTGTATATCCTTCAGCACCTGACAAGCAACACAGAAACGAGAGGTCATTCTTCTCAAGCATGGAATCTTCAACAAACACATTCTTTTACCTAGCAGTGGTATGAATATCCAGCTTTACTTTCCAAGTGGCAAGGCATAAAGGAATGAATTAAACTACATTTATTCTGGATCATTTTTACTGACAACAGTGAAAGCTAAATCTGTCTGCGACTTGCCTATTTCTGACAGTATTTTCCTGAAAAGCAGAATAGCTTTGAAAGACAGAAACTTTAGAGACAGCCAGCAATTGCAGGATTCCTCTAAATCAGGGTCAAACCTTGCACTCATCGACTCCGAGTAAAGTGGTTTTGATAAACCTTTTCAGGCACCTAGAGCACTGCAAGTTTCCCATAAATGCCAAGACAAAGCCTTTTACTTTAATCTAACCGATGTTTTTGAGTTAACTGAGACTAGACAGGAACCAAACTGCAGTTCTCATATGTGAATGTGACCTGACATCTGCAATTTGTGACAAGGGCAGCCTTTGTTTTGGTTAGACTATCCCAAAGAGAGGTAAACACCCGTGCAAACAGGGAGGTGATCCTTTTATTCACCTGTGTTCTGATTTCAGGCATGTTTGGGCTCAAGTGTTTTGTGACAACCAGAATGAGACAGACAGAATTTGCTACCTATTTGACATATCATCATCACTCCATGCTAATTGTGTTAAGAATGTAGTAGATAATATTACTATATTGTCAATATAATACACAAAGTGAATACCACATTGGATAGCATGATCAAACACATAGTAAGGTAGAGAGTATTCATAAAGGAAGACAAAATGTGATCCATGTGCCAGTGGGCAGAATGCATTGAATGAATGGGTAAATGGGACTAAGTCATTAATATAATTTCATCAGTTCACAAATACCACTGCCAAATCAAAGCAGCTCTCTATTTTCTGCCCAAGAGCCACACATTATTTTCCTTCATTACTCAATCTTTGGTTTGATCCTCTATAATCTTAAAACTGTGAGGAAAAAATGCAGCCTGTATGGAAAATTGCTGTGGGATTGCAAAAGATTTCAAGCTTGCCAAAGAAAATGAACTCTAAAAACTGTTTTCCTTGTTTATGTGTTCTTCCCAGGCCCTCTTGTTTATGTAAGGCTCAATATATGATCAAGTTACCTTGCGTCAGCCAGGCTGTGGTAATTGTCTGTGTGTGCACTTTTGGCCCGCAGCAAATGCGAGAGAATTTAACCTGGTTTAAGCCCCTTTCACTGCAGGCCTAGCCCAACTTACCTCACATTCCCTGTGGGTGGGAGCATGCACCTACCTCAGACACAGTCAGACACTGCATCCCAGGAGCCTTATGCTGTGTCTGAGACCCAGGATTAGGAAAGGCACCCTAAAGGCCATTTGGGACAGCTCATCTTTCCTTCTGCAGGTATATTGCAGAGGCACACGAACAAAGGGCTTACCTGCCATGCCTCCACCTTCTTTATGTCTGCACAGGACCCGTTGGTGAAGAGTCCCTTCCCAGGGGTACAGGTATAAATATCCTGCAAGGCATGGGCGATGGAATACACTGCCAAGTACACGTTATAGGATATCCGCAAGTGCGTGTAGTCCATGTACGGTGTCTCCACGCTGGTGATGTTCTCATCCCCTGTGCACGGAGGTCGGAAGGCAGACGTTCCATTTCCAGCTCCCAGCCCCTCTTCATGGCCTTTGTGGAAGGAAGTTGAAGCAGGAGAATTTTTGGATCCATCAGGGAGATAGCAGTTAAATGTCTCCTCCCAAAACTCCTTGGCAAAGCCGTTGTTGGTGGACTTCTTGGGATGCACCTTCTGCAGGAACTCACGAAAGCCTGGGATCTGTCCTGCCTTCAGTGCAAACCCGATGGTGCTGCCGATGACACGGAAGAACTCCGGCATGGCTATGAGGGAAGAGCTGGCCCAGGCCTCGCTTGCCAGCCAGATCTTGCCAGTGATGTTTCTCCTGACAATCTCTTTGATGAGAGGCTCCAGATCCGGGCCACTGGAAAAAACAACAATCACTCTTGCTGTGGAGTTCTGGATGACCTCTACCACCTGCTGGATCTCCTCTTCATCTGAGTACTGGGAGATGAGCTCGCTAAAATCAATGCAGATATCTCTCTCCTCCGCCTCTTCCCGAAATTTTTCAATCCCTGGCCGGCCATAGTCATCGTCAGCTGCGATTGTTCCCACCCAGTTCCAGCGGAAGTACTCGATGATGTCTGCCATGGCTGTGGCCTGATGCTCATCGTTGGGGATTGTGCGCAGGAAGGACTTGAACTGGTTCTTATTGCTCAGGAGACGACTGGATGAGGCATAGCTGACCTGTCAGAGCACAGCACACAAGCAAAACACACCATAAAGTGAAACGCCTGAAATAAACTGCCTCCATTTACCTAGCATCACTGTCAGCTGGGAACCACATTTTCTCAGCCTGTGTTTGCAGGTGATCCACTCTGAGGGTTCTTCTAGCTGTGTCTGTCCTACAGAGGCACTCATACAGGAGCAGCTGCTCGGACCTGAGAGGCTGGAGCCAGCTTGTGCCCACCTGCAAGGTCAAGGATCTGAGGGAGAGAGGAATGGACGCTAGATTGGAGGAATGGCAAAGATTTCTGTCAAATCCAGAAATATAAAGAATGTGCCATCTAGATAAATGAGGGCAATGCACTGAATTAAGACAAAGCACAGGCTTTCTCTATCCTGAACCAGACATGAGACAGCAGGATGGTGTTGCCATTCCAAAACTACTCTGTCTTTCTCTCCTTGCCTTTGGTATCCATCCCCATTTTTAAACATGCTCCTTTTGCCTTTTATATACAATCCCTGTCAGCTGACATAAGAAAAATGTGCTGTATATCAGCTTCCTTGATCCTGCAGTGTGTTATGGTAACGCTACTTTAGCAGTGTTTCCTGAGTGCTGGCCAGAATCAGCAAAGAAGCCAGTCCATGCTTCATAAGCCACCATGTTTTTAGGTTAAAGCTGGATTTTATTTCCTTTTTTGAAACTATCAAGAAATATTTTATTTTCCTAATCAGAACAAGTGCCACATGCTCTTAAGATATAATTGGAATTATCTACAAGTAGGAAGAAAATCTTAAACCCCAGATAATAACTGTTTAAAGATCTGGAGGAGTTCTAAAACACATTTTGAGATTGGTATCTGAATTCTTTAGGACTGACCCTCATTTGAGAAAGTCTTCTATAAACAGTTCATTTTGTATAAAGTGGAAATTTACAGAAAACCTTGTCTTCTTGCTAAACTCTATTACTTAATGTTTCTGCAAGAAGAAAGAAAAGAAGGTCTCACAGTGCAGTTTCAAGGGCCACAGGAGTAAGCCCTCCTTTCACAGAGCTGGACTCTCCCCTGGACAGGCTCTTGCCCAGTGGTACTCTCACCCCACCAGCCTTTTTCCAGGAGTACATGCAATGTGTCCCACTGCCTCGTGTGCTGTAAGGGGACACTGACCTGAGGCACTGAGAAACAGAGCAGAAGTTGTAACATTTTCAGTGTCTACGTCAACAGAATGAGTAATGAGCCGTACATTAATTGTAAAATACACCTCCAACTCCTACTGAAATGCAGGGCCTAATAATGCTAATGGCCTTGCTATAAATGGCTGTGACAATTCTACCCAACATCTGCCAGTCTAAAAGCCTGCTTTCAGTTGTCATGCCTCAACCACCTGGCTGAGACTTCGTTCCAGAACTGAACCTCCTGACATCTACCCTTTTCTGCAGCCTCTAGATAAGGCTACTGCCTCGTAGGACAAATGTCATTCTCTGTTTAAAGAGAAAGTCTGAGAACTGCAAACATCTCTTACGTTCAGTTGAACTCACCAACCCTTCTCGGCTGCCCCTGTTCACCTGGTAATGTGATGTGTAAATGAACAATGCTCCGTAAGATGTCATCAGGGTGTTTATTACGTGCCAGCTTCCAATGCCACTCTGGGCAATACCCAGATAGCACAGCTTAAACCTTAATTCTTGCCCTGCTCAGAGACCTAATGTCCAGTTTTTCAGACTCCTGAAAGGAGTCAGACTGATAAGACTCAACAGACAAGATATATTACTGTGCACAGGGCAATCAAGAACCCTTCCTTCTTCATTTGTGGTGTGGATGGGAATAGGAGCCCTGGCTGAAGCAAAGATACATTTCTCAGGACGGACTGAGAGCACATTCTGACACAATCTTGTTATAAGGGCTCTTGTGAGCTCTGGCACCTCTATTAATTTCGGAAGAGGGATTGGAAGTGTTAGGCTATACAAGGTAACACTTAAATGGATAAGGCCAAGCACTTTTTCCAAAGCTGACTTCAGTGTAGAAAAGTAAAATCAAGAGCAATTAAGCGAGCCTTGTCCTTTACTTAAAGGTCTTGGCAGATCAACAAGCCTCTTAACAGGATGGGGCCACGGATGCTGGCACTGGCTCCAGCAGAGTCAGAATGCTTACAGTTACTGCTGTATTCACAGTCTAGAGGACTCCAGTCCTCGTAGGCTAGGCTGCTGATGGCCAAATGTTGTTATGGCTGCTCAGTAACCTTTACATTTGGGGACTGCAAAGTGCTAGCAAGACACATTTCTATCATAACAATGACACCCACCCCCCTCCCACCCCCCATTTTATTGTTTCTCTCCTATAAATTCTATTGGAAATGGCAAAGATTAAGCAACCTTTGCTTGATCTCTGCAGAGTAGAGGAGCAGGCCATTTCTGTAACCTAAACAAGTGAGGTGGAAGCATACCTGAGGTATGTAAAAGAGTCCCAGCAGATTGGCCACAGCAGTGGAGATGCCAGAGCCAGTTGCTCCCACGACTGCAATGGTGGAAGGGATATGTTCTGAGCAGTTACAGAATTCGTCCAGGTTCAAGGAGTCTATCTTGTTTTGGGCCACAAAACTCAGTGTGGCTTCCAGGGCTTTCGAGACTGTGTTGCAAGTGTCAAATATCCTATATCCCAGGGTCATGTTGGGCAGGAGAGTTGGGCTACTGTTTATTTCTTCTATGGCAAAGATCATAGCCTGGAGCCAGCGGAAGCCTCGGAAATTATACCTGGGGGAGCAAAAATAAAAACAAAATAGAGTGAGAAGGAGGAAAACAGAGCAGAGGAGACCAGGAATGAGGCAAAGACAGAGTGAAAAATTCCAGATACAAAAGGCAAAAGCAACTTACGCAATTTCTTGCACCCTACTAAATTTGGAAAGCTTTGCTTTTGTTTCTGCTACAGAAGAGGCATGTTTTTGCTACAAGGTTTAGTTCTGGCTCTCAACTTTTCAGTTTGGGCATTCACTGCAGAGGTAAACGTTTCTAAGTCCTCTAAAACCTGGGAAAGTTAAAAGACAGCATGTCTGGAGTGATGACTCTGGCCTGTCCCTTGTGCTCAGGACCCTAAACCTGATCTCATGATCCCTGAGGAAATGGGTGTTGTGATCCTCTGACTGAAAGCTACACCTACCAAGTTTGCTTCCAGGCTCCTCTGACATGTTTCTGAATGCAGATGGCACTGTCTGCTAAGCCTGTGCTGATGCTGCCTGGGACTTAGGCTTGGCATACTCCCAGAGTGTGTCAGCTCCTCCTGGCTTTGGGCAGGCAGAGCAGGCTGAGCCACAGCGCTGGCACGCTGCTGGATGCAGAGGGGCCCGGGAGCTCTGCTCAGGGAAATTTGGCCTCACATGACACCCTTCAGTTTGTGAGAGAGAGCACAGTCAGACTGTTCATACCAGAGATCAGAGACAGGCTATAAATATAAGTCGTAGTGCAAACTGATAACTTTTTCATTAGATACTTCAGTGCCTTCACTCAAGGAGTAACTTTTCTCATTATTGTGGTTCTCTCACACAATTTGCTTTAGACACGAACTCAGAAGATGCCCTCAGAGCCGGTATGTGAAACTGAAACTGTTTTTGAAGCCTCTGTTTTTCTCTAAGATGGAGAAGCTGAGTTTTCTGACTATCTTGCACCTGTGCATGGAGCTGCAGATTGGTGGCAACTGTCCTGCCAGAGCTGGGAGTCTCTGTTTGTGGCATCAGGAGCCTGGCAGTGGAAGCAGCTGAAGCACAATGATTGCTTATCCACAAAGGAGAGAAACTTTGTGGAAAGCAGCAGCAAGAAAGTACCTTTGAAACATATTATTCTGAAGTTTTACTGTGTTTCCCTTATAAAGCTGCCCTGGCAATGTGCTGTGTGCGTGTGAGGCTGCCGTGTTTGAGTGTGATGCAGCTGGAATGGCAGAATCTTCCATCAGCTGAAACCTGTCCTTCCTTGGAATGCACTGTGGGTCAGGATACACGCTAGTTTGCAGTTTTGTGCTGAGTTGCAGTGAAAACAGGGAAATGTCAGTGCTGTTATGCTTGAGATACACTGGGAAAAGTGATGGGCCCCAAAACTGGAAAAGCCTGGGGAAACAACCTGGCCAAGAACAGATTCTATATGAAATGGTAAATTGTAGGTTTTGCATCAGTTACATTTTGAAATGATTAGAGAAATGTTTCCATTATTAAGGTGAAGATTTCTAAAGATAAGCTTCATGAAATCACAACCTTTCAATCTCTGAGATATATGACCTAAACATTTTTAATGGATGGATTAAATTAATTGCTTCCAAAGTTGATGTCAGCTACGCCTGACTTTTTCAAAGCTGAATGAACAAAGCCACATTACTTCCATTCCAGGAGTTTTATCTGATTCATCTGGGATCAAAATTTCTAATGATATCACATCTAAGGTTTAAGTCTTAAAAACTTTATTTATTCAACTTGACTTCACCTCTCCAGACATCTCTGGCCAAATTCCAAATGAGGTTCGGCTCTGAGGTTATCCCTCAAAGCCCAGCCAGCACAATTTCAGTACAGATCTCTTCAGGTCAAAAAGTTTGAGTCCTTAGTTATAACTTATTACCAAAGGGACAGTTAGCTTTATTTAGATTAGTCTTTAGAAGCACGGGCATGTGGGTTACTGATAGAAGTAATTTGGTCACTTAGAATATTTTTTGCTCTAGTTCCAAACCATTAAGGAATGAGATGCAATGAGACAGCTCTGAAATAAAAGGGCAAGGCTCAGAGGGATCGAGTCAGAGAGTGCTGTGTACAGGAAAAGATGTGTTGGGCACACCATGTAGCTTCACGTGGTCAGTAATGCACACCGGGATAAATGGAAACAAGGAAAGGTTTTGTGACACTTCTTTTTAAAAAGCTGCACATGTTTACAGATATTTTTAATAGGAATAGGATTTGAAGCAAGGAGCCATATTCAGGCTCCTCATGTAAAAGAGAAAAATCTAATCACATTTTCTGCATTTAAAGGGAAGGCTACTGAGAACCTGGGAAGTTCAAAGATACCACTATACTACTGGGAAAAGCTTCACATATTTGAGTATATGTAAAAGCAAATTAAGACTGCTGACTTTAAATTATACAGGTGAAATATGACAGAAAATTAGTTTGCCTGCTTGAAAGAAATTTGGCTTTATTATTTTAAAATGCCACAAGGTGGTATCTTCAGATGGTATCTTCGAAAGCAGTGAACTGGATCCTCTTACCCTTCACTTCAAAGAAATATTTGGCATTTAGTTCAGTAAATGCAGACTAAGCCCATGATACACAGTTGCTTTTGTTTTCCTTTTTGACACATGCTCCTGATTAGTGTATATTTACAGTATAAGACCTCTAGTTCAGGTACTTGCATTTGGAATGATTTTATTCTGGAGGGAAAGGAGAGTAGGGGCTGTTTTCTGGGAGCCAGAATCCAAAATCTTTGAAATACTTTCAATAATTTATCTTAAAATAACTTAGGCAAGAGACCTGCTGTTCTTTTCACTTGCACCTCTTCTGACAGCAGCATCAGCAGCTCAGGAGGAGAGGATCAGGCGGGATGAAGACAGCACTCCTCATTCTGTCCTCTCTGTAGCCTGATAGATCTTCAGAGGAGCTGTCGTTTGGTCACCTGAGACAGCGTTGTGTCGGTTCCGTGACACAGATATGGTCAGACAAAGGCAGTGCTGCCAACCGCTCTAAATAAAGTAAGATCCATCCAGTATCTGTCAGTGGATATTTTGTGGAGTTTCTCTTCCACTGTGCTGTAAGATCCCAGCAAGGGGCTGCAGATAGGTTCCTCTTGGCTTGGTGTGTGCATGGGGGATTGCTAAGAGCAGCCTTTGAAGATGGCAGTGGGTGCCACCGATGCAGCTGACTCCTGTGCCGTGCTGCTGCTGTGATTAACATGACCAGTCACTGGAATGCTCTGGCAACCATGCAGCAATTTGACTGGTAATTTCCAGGAAGAAACTGGATGGTATTTACTATCAGAAGCAAGCTTTCATTAGATTTCCAGAATATTTAAATAGCCACTGGTGTTTTCTCGATGGAAAAGAAGCAGCCTCCAAAGCTCATTTTCTGCCATATTACTTTACAGGTATGTTCACATAGTCTTGCATTTTGTGAGATGTGGTGCTATGAAGAGTGGCCATTAAGCTCTAAATGAGAGTTTAATGTAAATAATACAGAGCCCACAGGTGTAGAGGGGGTTTTTTATTTACACTCCTTCCTTAAAGTTTCCCTTCTGCTACTTGTTCTCCCACCTCTCAGAATATTCAACCCACTGATCTTTCCATTCCCAAGGAGGAGCACAAACTGGGAGAGGGAAATTGGAAACAATACCTCGCTGCAACCGTCACCTCTGCAGAGGACAGCAGTGCAGCAGACCAGTTTGCTAGAAACTAAACATGTCTGTCAAACGGTGCTCAGGATGGCTTAAATGTCCAAGCCAACATTTCAAAGCAAGGCTATGCAAATTAAGGGGCACAAGCTGTCTGCATGGTTTAAGCTCCCCTTACCTCCATCCCCTGTTTGTTTGTGTGGTTTGGTTTTAACAGATCTTACTGTCTGCATCCTGCAGAGAAATTGGTCCTGATCCTTGCTAGTCTCCATAAAGAAATAATTCACAGCCTCATGTGTATTCATGACCTTCATTTATCACACTTGCAAGGTACTAAGCAATGGAATATGAAGCAAAAAAAGGAGAAAGTGATGTGAAAGCTCTGAATAAAGCTTTTACATACCCCCCCCCCCCCCCCCCCATAAACAGACTTTCTGCATCCGTGCTTATACTCAGAAATGGTGGCAAAGCCTGCATATACCTTTCGATCATGCCAGCACTCCTCTTTCTCTAGTGGTTGCATGCACATACTAATTTCTCTGTCCTCTCTAGATTTCCAGTACATTAATTGCATGTTTTTCCTGCTACTACCACTGTTATTTCTAAGCTATGCAAGGGGGAGACCTTCAGTCATTTGTTGGATTCCTGCAGTCACAGGTATAATGAGTTGCTTACCACTCTTATAATCAAGGACTGTGGGTGAGGGGAATTACACAGAACAAAGAAAATCAAAAATCAAAAAATTACAATTCGGAAGGTGAGTGGAAGAGAGAGAAAATTATGTAATTACATGTTAGGGAAGAGAAATTCAAAATATCTTGTTGTACATTCAGGTGTGCAGTGGGATTAGCAAACACATCTGCAAGGGCTAGAATTAAAATTCTGTTCTCTCAGATGGACAGAGAAGCTCAGTGGGCTAAAGAGTTCTGGAGCCATGCTCTGTGAAGTCTTGCACTATGACATGGGGATAATGTCTCACCACACTTTCACAGCTTGAAAGCTTTGTGTCACAGTGTGGGACCTTGGCTAGACTGAGGATCAGGATACAAGAAAACTGCTAATCTCCCTGAAATCAAGAAGGGGCAGAAAAATCAGGTTATGAATAGGCCTATGGGGGTGCTGACAGGGAATGGAATGGGGATCAGGGCTTGCTTGTGCTGTGCTCAGTCTCTGCCTCCCCTGCACACATCAGATACGCATCAGCAAATGTTATAAGGAAAGTTGCTGCAGCACCTGAGGCATACAAAGACAGGAGGTGTATTTATATCAAACGCAGGATCCTTGTTTGCTGAAACAACAAACAGGAAACAAAACTGCTCTCGCTTCGTGTATTCCTATCTGACATTTAGTGTGGTACGGTCTTGGGTCCATTTTCACTTTGGACTCTACAATTCAGTGCTCAGAGCACAAGGAGGCATTTTCAGTAGCAACAGCACAAAAAGATTGGGGAACCGATTGTTACTGTTCCTTTTTCCTTCCACCGCTGAGTTATGTACATAGTTTCTAAATAATCATGCTCCAGATATGCACAGTAGGTTCAGGCCAGTATGTTTGCTGAGCTGGACAGAAAGGTGCTGAGCCACAAGAGCATGAAGAACATAAAAACTAGAGAAAGTGGAGAGAAAACTGTCCTGTCCTTTTTGAGAAGCCCCAGCTGTCCTATCCATTGGGAAACCCAGTCTGGGAGCATAGGTATGGCCCTGAACACAGCTAAATGTCCAAACATCATCTTGATCAGCTTGAACAGTCCTCAAAATAGAGAAAAAACACATTATCTTAAGTTGTTTGATTCTGAACTCTAAAATAGACCACGCACAGGGTTTCAGTGGGACCCTTAGCTCTTGTCATGGAACTTTTCATACGGTCTGATGACTTGCTGCTGCAAGAGAGCATGAGGAGAGGGAGAGGATGCTCATTATTCCAGAGTGACCAGGGTCTAATTTTCTTATGTGATATGAGACACATTTTTTTACATAATAAAGAGATTAAAAACTGTAGGCAGCCGTCTGAAAAGGGGGCAGGTATAAAACTTATTAACCTCAGCTTTGAAAAGATACACCAGTGCTGGAGAAGGCTCAGAGAAGGGCAGCAAGGGCAGGTAAAGGTATGGGACAGATTTAGCACCTTTGGTTTGACCATGTACAGTCACATTTGTGTTTTCCTATGGATTTCTATCTAATTTGCTAATCTGTGGATTTCCCACCCCACAGAAGTTTTTGACACTACAAGACTGGGGAGAATTACTTTGTGAAGACACTAGAACCTATATATTTTTTTCTGCCCCGAAATATAAGTTTGATAATTCCAGACCAGTCAGTTGCCTGGAACCTAGGAAACTCACATGTGATAATGTAAAATTTTAGCAAAAGACTTGAAGAACATGTTGAACTCCTAGAGTCAGCATGCACAACCCTGCCACAGGCTAATGCCTGATCACAGGGTCCAAAACAAAAAAATTATTACCCTGGTTATGTTGAGAGATTTCTGTACAACTTGAGCAGGAGGAGTTTTCTGACTTCAATACTGCTTAAAAGAGAAAATCCTTTCAGAAAAAAAATATCTGCTCTCAATTTTACGTGTACCAATAACAAGGAATACACACAAACATTCCCATATATTTATTCCCTCTGTCATTAAAACCTGATGACCAATCTCAAAAAGTCTTCTCAATCCAACCTCTTTTGAATTAAACATTTCCTACAAATGGACATTTTCTAGTAAAGATGTGTGCAATGAAGCAACTTCCAGTTATTTCTGGTCCAACCATCCCCTTGTTCCTTTTGTAGTTTCTCCTACCTCTGCACCTAGATTTCAGACCTTCATTCTTTCTCCAGCTGCATTATACTATCAACTCTCAATTTATCCAACTCCCTGAAGGATATGCGCCACAAATGCCTGGCCTGGAGACATCTTTTTTTTTCTCTTTTGCACCTACATCTTCTACCTTCATCACCTACTTACAAGGATTAAAAAACCAGGGATTTTATCCAGGCAAATTTCAGCTGGAGGATACCTTTTAGCAGATTGAATGCCACCCAGAAGGATCTCCCATTGTGTCCTTAGAACAGCTAGTCTGGCTTTTCAGGATTTGCCTGCTGTTGGCAGTGCTATCTCATTAACATGCTTTTTGGCAACCACACACTTGTAGTACTTGTGGCAGAACATTTTCCAGCCATCTCTTCCAATAATGTGACCATGTCAAGACAGCCACTGAGGCTGACCCAGAGTTGACAGAAATGAAAGCTGTTTAGTTTGCAAATATCTGCATTGTCCTGCCTGCCAGCTGGAGCAGGAGAAGAAGAAAATAGAGCTGAAAACATCCATTGCTTTCCAGCTCTCCACTTTTAAAATAATGCATTTGAGAGAGAAAAACAATGCTGAAAAGCTGGCAGAGATTCTTGCTCCATGAAATAGACATGGCCCATACACTTAGTTCACGACTTTCCTGTGCACACACAGAAGAAACCAAAATAATCTCTGCTTATTGACAGCTGTGTGTGCTCCCTATGACAGGTTCTGGGGATGATCTCGTAACCTAGATGGACGTGCCTTGCCCAGGGTCTCAGTGGGAAACCACACCTGAAATCTGCGAATGTAACAGGAATGCTCTCAGCCATCCCTCATTGCCAGCTGCAGCAAAACTGTGCTAGATCCCCAGCCTAGGACGAGAGGTCCAAATAATCCCAGGTACACAGTTCTTCACACATGGTAACAGAAGGAGTCCCATAACAATGAAGTGTTTTCTCATGCATTGTCATGACAGAAATCCACATAGATTTCTTATATTTTGTTTATATGATTATAAACATTTATATGATTATAAACATGATTATATTGTTCCAGCTGCAATCAGTTTCTGTCACGCTTTCCACTTGTTCTGTGTATTATGTGCAGGCTTGTAATGCTAAAAATTCCTCACGTTTCATCATAAAAATGCCTACACTTCAATAATAAGAGAAATTGTTTTCATCTGCACTTCTCACTCCAAGGTTAACTCCCAAACACTGGAGACAAAACATAGATGTGTTGTTTACACAAAAGAGAAGAACTCTGGGTGAGGAAAGCCTGGGCTCAAGTTTGGGCCTTTACAAAGTCCTAAAGAAACTTCTATGTGTCATTCACTGGGATTTTTCAAAAGCCCTGACCTATATCACTTTCATCAATTAACTTGTTTAGGCAACTTAACAGTTTGTAAAGTCTTAGAAGATGACAGGCAGAACTGGATAAAAAATGGATTTCTAAACTATTTGGCCATGCATTACTTTAATCAAATGAACTAAAGGGCACTATTGGTAATTTTCTGTTCTGCTAGGGAAGCTAATTTTCAGATGCTATTCAAATGCTATTCCCACTGAATGGCCAGATAGATCAGTATACTAATGTTTTGGCAGCTTCAGGTAGTACACAGATCGCCCTCTTTTAGTGTCCAAATAGTATTTATGTTACTGTTTAACATATACACTTGTTTTTTTCTGTTATTTACATCATACCTTCCAATTGCAAGCATCAGATTACAGACTATATTTACACAACTTAAAGTCAAGAAATGTGAAGACTTTCCCACCAAAACTTTTTATTTTCCCTTTTACCAACTTACCTTATACACTCCACTGATTCTGGCCTTGATTTTAGATCCTGGTCTTTAGCAGCCACTCCAAAATGAATGGGGAACAATCCTCCAAGAATAATGTCTCCCTTCTTCTGTGCCCGTTGGTTTGGCCCATAGGCAGCAGTGCTCCAGGTAAACAGCAAAAGAATCAAGCAGCAGCTATATGAAGTCATTGTTCCTCTTTTCACCAGGGGGTTATCGGGTGCAAAATTGGAAAAGACGATGTAAGAAAGCAGATGTCAAAACGTTTCCTTTCCTTAATACAGCACAGAGAGGATTTGGGGCACATGTTGGCAGGGACATAAGCAACAAGGTGGGAGCCACAGTGCTGGTGCTTCTCCCTCTGTCTTCTCCATTGCAAAAAAACAATTCAGCTTCCCTTCTTCCTTCATAACTGAAGCGTTATGGAGAGCCCATCTCTCAGAACTGTAAGAGAAAGATTTGAAAAGTGATTCCACCTGTACACCAGGACCCCTCATTGCCGTGATGGCTCTGCTTTGTCAAGCCAAGCCCTCAATATGCCCCTGAAGCTGCCCCCACTCAACAACACACTGGGTTGTATCACAACCTTGGCAAAGTCACCCAGGCACCGTGGTGACACAGCCACACCTCTTCAAACAATGCCAGATGCCTGATTCTCTTGCCACATACCTAAGGGGGGGTTGCCTAATCTTCCTATGGTTCTGTGTGACTCTGGTCATAGCAGATGCTGTAAAACCTGTGACCTGATTGGTGTCCATGAACAGAGCACACTGTGAGACCTGGGTGAGCAAGTGGTGAACAAGGAAGCATCAAATACAGTAAGAATCAAGCCTTTCTCTTAAGCAAATAACCATAATAATCTTACGGTGTTGGTCTATCATCTCCTACCCGCTGATCATTCTTTAGCCTCGATCTTTGAACTTATCCTTGATAAAAATAAAATAAGGTCACCATAAAAAGTTCTTTTGCATTGAAAGGGAGAATGAACTCCAGGGAAGCATTTGAAACCAAGATACTTCTCTACAATGAGTCATGAAGGCTTGATAGGTTCGGCAATCATGCCATTGAAAGCTTAGCTATAGCAGCCTTTGAAGCCTGTTTCCTGGGGATGAAAAATCCTGCAGCTTCTCCATGCTCAATGCATTTTCCCTGCAGCATGTCTGCAGGCCTCCCAAACAAAGAACTAACTTAATTATGGCATATGAAAATGGCTATGGCTACAGGAAGGGAGATAGCACAGAAAATTCACAATGAACCGCTCTTCAGGCTATTTGAAACAGGTCTAAAAGCTAGTAGAAAGAACCTGAAGTCAGTGAAATTTAGAGTAGAAGCTAGGCATACATTGCTAATCTTGAGGACAATTAATTTCTGAAGCAAGTTAACAAGAGTTTTTAAGTGCTGAGAACCTTTTTATGAGGCTGACTTATTATCACTAAATGCAGCTGTATGGATTTGATCTTCACCTAGGTCAAATAAAGAGCTACTGCAGAGGAAAATTGTGATTGTGAGGCTTCTTCTGGTAGCCAGTCTGGATGGTCGTGCATGCTGTATGACCACCAAGCATGTGGAACGATTTCATACATTTTCATTACAATGGAGGTTTGGATGCAGCAGTCAACGAGAGAGGAGAGACAAAGCTCCTGCTGCTCTCATGCCTCTGTGGTCACTGCACTTAGCTGGGCAGACACTGCAGTTCTCTGTGGCGGGTCCACTCTAAACTGTTCTTTGGCCCTGGCTTGAACAAGTGCATTTTTATTGGCAAGGGCAATCAAATCCTTGGCTAGATATCAAGATATGTCTAGGTACTGGCCTTTTGACAGCTGGATGATAGAATTTTAACCAGAACCAGGATTAGGAGGGGACAGAGAATTGCAAGGAATGAGTGTCATGAAGTGTTTGGGTTTTGATCTTTTCTGGCAGATGGATGGTGGTTTGGCTTCTTCAGTGCCCAACAGAATAAAGAATAAAACACTTTTCCATATTTCAGGTAGAGAAATGCAATCTTCCTCCCATCACCTGTGGTTTCAGGAAAGATGCAAACACTGGTGAAGTGCTGATAGAGTGTCCTGAGGTGAGGACCAGCACAGACAGGGCCAGCACTTAAGAGGTGAGGCCTTTGAAACAGGGCAAGTAATGTCTGAAGAGACGTTGCAAAGACATGGGATGGTCTGACAAATGCCCTTTAGCTCAGCTCACGCCCTCCCCCAGCTGCCTCTGGGATGGCAGGGACCTGGGGGACTGCATGCTCCGATAGCCGCAGGGATGGTGTCCCCGGAGTCTGGCCAAGGATCCATGCGTGGGACTCAACCAAGGTGGGATGAGCTCAGTGACTTCCCCATCTGCTGAGGGAAGATCACAGCCTGCTGATTTACTACTTAGTTTTTCTGCTTTTACTTCAATAAGTCTTTCTTTTGCCTTTGGGTTTATTGGCTTATGAAAAAGGAAACATTTCCATCTGCAGCAGACAGACAATATAATTTTGTTTGCTGGGTTGCTGTGTAGGGGTTTGGGCTGATGCTACTGAATATTTAGGAACTCTTCGCCACAAGACGGTACATGGCTGAAGTATGAGATGTAGAAAAAGCAAATTCACATTATTTTTTCTCTTTTCTCACAGCAGACAAAGTCAAAACATCCAAACTGGTAAAATACAGCAAATTTTAAAACAGCATTTACAGCAGTTAGTAGTCCCAGTTGTCATTCAAGAGAATGACAATGGAATAGACAATGAAAACAAAATCATTTATTTATGGTATAAGGCATTAGTTAGTATCCCTCTGAGCAATTTGGAACGAACAGTTCTCAGGGACAGGACACAGAACTGAAGTAACTTCAGAGGTGATGTCTGGGAGCAAGATGGGCTGTGTATACATAAAGCACAACCCTGAGGCAGAACACTGAAGGATAAATGTCCAAAGATGCATTGGCACAGAAAAGCAAAACTAAGTGTATGCTCAGCTCCTCATAAATCTCAGTTTCCAAATGTAAAACTCTCCATACCTAAATTTCAGCTATAGCTGGAAAACCAAACTCATTTAATGGGAGACAGAGGACTCACAGCTGCTTTCAAGTGCCCTGCACACCTGAAGATGAAAATATTTAAGATACTGACTTCTCGATGAGTGGTTGTGATCTTGTTACCAGTGCCCTAGATAATATCCCCTAATATCAACTTCTGTTGTTGCAAATTTTCCTTCAGTTCTCTTTTCTTTTATTAGATTAAGATTATGAGCCTCTTCCTTATTAAAGAAGGCATTACACAGTTAATGACTGAATTACTTGCTGATGTATGTTTCCAGACATAAAACGTAGCATACCACAAGTGGAAATTGTACTACTAAGAGAACAAATTTCTGTGGTCCTGCAGTTTCAGCTAATAAATTAAAAAATGATAAAATTAACAAGCAACTGAATTAAGATGGAATCCACTGATATCTTTTTCCTTTGCAAATGTTTTTACACATAGAACATTATTTAATATTTGAATATGATCTCTTCAATGCAGAACACATTTTCCCTGTACATATATTCAGCCAAAAAAATTCCATAAGATTACTTTTGCAAGAAAATATAAAAACTAAACAGTAATTTTCTCTCTCTTTTTTTTTTTTTTTTTTTTAAACTTGGCCTGATTTTCAAACCTCCCCTCCCTTTAAAAAATAGTCCTCAATAGTTTTTTCACTCTGTGTCATTAACTATCAGACATTTTGATTCTGAACTGTCTTGGAAGAGAGCTTCTAAGCTTCCGTGGAGGAATTTGAACTGGTTCCAGGGACGGGATGAGCTACCAGGGAACTATTGCCATGGCAGGAACAGTAGCTGAGGTGGGGAGGGATGGTAGCCAGGTAGAGCTGTGGGTGCTTGGAAAGCTTGCAGCAATCAGCACCAATGAAAGTTTTAGTTGTCAGACTAAATCAGGCAGAAAAGCCAGAAATGTTCGATACATCTTTGGGTTTTTGGGTGAAAGGAAGCTGAATGGCACACTCATGGCAAGCATTACTGATGAAGAAATTATTAATCATACTGTAACTAACCACAGCTCCCACAGCAGTCACTCAGGTGCATCTCAGAGCTGGCACGGGAAGGATCTCAAGGGACCGTGAAGCTGCCCCTTGGCCCAAGAAGGGCTCAGCAATAGTAGTGCAGTTCCTGGCATATTTTCTCTAAAAACTTGTCAGGAAGAAAAACCAGCCAGACACTCAGGGCAGCCTACTTCAATGCTTCTCTGCTCTTAGCAAAGAAAATGTTTTCTCACATCTAATTTCAGTGGTTTTTCTTACAACTTAAGCCTGTCTTCTTCTCCCATCTACCACATAAAGGCCAGTGCCTCCCTGCTCATAATCACCATATTTGGGATTTGATTCACTTCCCCTTTTACTCTTTTTCTTAGACCAAGCAAATCAAATTAGCTTTTTTTTTTTTTTTTTTTTTTTTTTTTTTTTTTTTTTTTTCTTTTCCATAAAGATGCTTTCCTGAGCTCAGATTATTCTTATTTCATTCCTCTGGCCTCTCTCCAGCATGTCTCCACATTTGGTGCAGAGCAGTGCCCAGAAATGGACACAGTGTCCTTGTTTGGCCCTTACAAACACTGAGCAAAGTAGTAGAATTATTTTGTGTGTCTTGCAACCCTGTTTGTACATTCCAGCACAGCATTTGTCTTTTCTTGGAACAGCATGATATTGTTAACTTATGGTGACTTATCAGCTAAACACAAAGCAAAGTTTGGCATGTTTATATTCACAAGGCCATGAAACCTTACAAGAAACTACAATTTTTCAAAAGCTTTTCCTTCACATTCAGTTCAAAGGTAGAATCTGATAAATTTCACATGACCATCCTGGACAACAAAAAGGAACCAGCATGGACAAGTCAACTAAATCTCCTGGGTTTGAAGGACCTTTTCACAGGAGAGAGCTGGGGAAAACTCCTGCTTACAGCCATGCAAAAAGGGCTGTCCCAGACCCAAGAAGACCCTAGCCTCACACACAGCAGGTTTGTTGTGCTTCTGGGAGGCCTGGATGCCCCAAGGAAGATAAAGAATGACACTTCAGTGGACAATGGACACAGAATATAAGTTGTCATACTTCTAAGACCAGACCAGACTTTTTTGTGGTGAGGGACCATGACAATATGAGAAAAAGTAAATTGTTCCAATTCCTCACCTGAGCAAGCATCAGCTCAGCCTTCCTGC